CCATGCGAAATCAGCCGTGCCAGCCTGAAGTGAATAGCCGAACAGTGTTCGGCTCACTTCACTTCAGGTCGGTCATTCACTCGGCTGCCTACGGCAGCTTAGTGAATAGACCCCTTAGAAATGTGAAAGTTTCTTATTTTAGAATAAGGCAACAAGTAAAATTACAGAAAATCCTACCCATTGGTGTGACCATGAATTGCACCACATTATGAACTAACACTTGACAATTGCAGAGATTACTGTGTCATCAATTATTTCAGGATCTTTCAAACTATTTAAAGGAAAACGAAAAATGCCTTAGAGGAAATGTATGTATATATATATATATATATACATACACATACTGGCCCCATCAGAGCAGGCAGGGAAGTACAGTATGTATGTGTGAGATGGGGGGGGGACACTCTGACTAAACTTAGCTGTGTGTTTAATCTGAAATTCAGCTATTGAGGTCTGTAAACATTAGCAGGTCTATTCACAAAAGGGTGAAGAGTTTGGAGAAGGAGGAGAAGTGAACAATCTAACAAAATAGCTGATTTGGAACAATTCTCCAATTCAGCTCACTTTCCAGTTCAGCTATGTTGTCCTAGATTGTTCACTTCTCCTGCCTTCTTCAAACTCTTCACCCTTTTGTGAATAACCCTGTAGGCTTTTCTCAGCAACACAAAGGGGAACTTATACTCAAAAGGTGAAGATATTCTGTCTCATAGGATATATCTAGAAGATTAATTATGGCTAAGCAGTACCTTGACAAATCTAAATTTTGTCTTACGCTGTGCCTAGTGTCTGTAACCTCATAGATATACTGTATATGGTTCTCGCAGAAACAATTGCAGCACAAACAACTGGAATCACAAGCTGGACAATGTTTATTCCCGAAGTCAAAGCATGCTGTAAACAAACACAGGCTCCTCCAACTCTAACATATTTCACCAAACGGTTAATTCGTAGAGATGAAGAGAGATTACAAAGAAAACATTTAAATAGTTACATTTCCCCATGTCACATATGTAACTAATGAATAGCCTCCTCTACCTGTCTCTTGTTAACCCCTTCTCTGCCAATGCATGCAAATGCATGTAAAAGAGCAATCACCCTGTATCCATCATTCCTTAATTAAGGCATTTTCTGCATACTTTTGCATTTAAAGCAGATCTTCAGGATTTTCCAAAGTTAACCCTTGCGGTGGGGCTACTCTCGCACGGCAAGGGTTAACTGCTCGCTTTGGTCTAGTGAATGAAATAAAGAAGAAACTCACCTGATCCTTG